GAGGGGTGGGCGTGTGGGGGCGGTGGGGGGGGGGGGAGGGGTGCAGATGCATGGGGTGGCACGATCACAGGCTAGTATAAGTGATCTGGCTGGCTGTACAGCTCTACAGTCCCATGAGGCTTTGCAAGACTCTGACAGCCACAGGCAGGACTACCAGAGGCAGTGGCATAAAAGGATTCGTAGTTTCAGCACAGCGTGAGTACAAAGGTTGCCTACCGCTGGCCTAGATTATTGACCTTTCCCTGTGTGGGTTTAAAACTCTCTTTTCTGTTGCTTTATAGAAAATGAAGATTGAGCTGGAACATGTCAAGCAGCACCTCTTGGTAAGTTGGCAGGGGTGTGTCCATTCCCTATATAGAACTGGGGGTATGACGGGGGTGTCCATTGCCTATATATAACTGGGGGCATGGCAGGGGGGTGTCCATTGCCTATATATAACTGGGGGCATGGCAGGGGGGTGTCCTATATATAACTGGGAGCATGGCAGGGGTGTGTCCATTGCCTATATATAACTAGGAGTGCGGGAGAGGTGTGTCCATTCCCTATATATAACTAGGAGTGCGGGAGAGGTGTGTCCATTGCCTATATATAACTGGAGGCATGGCAGGGGGTGTGTCAATTGACTATATATAACTGGAGGCATGGGAGGGGGTGTGTTCATTGCCTAAATATATTGTTCTGCAAGGCACCCTTAGAGCCTAGCTGGCCATACACTGCTTGAATTCACTGACAGCAAGATATGTGGCCCTGTCAGCATCCCACCCCCTCCTTGAATTTTCGATTGAATTTTGTCGATAGACCTGGGTCAACAATTCTCGATCAGCTTTAATCAACTCGATGACAGAGTGCAAGGGTGAGATTGTGGGTCTAATAGACCCCTGATATCTCCTAAAAGAGAACTTGTCATCTGCCATATGCTATCACACAGGGGGCTTCTCAGCCTTCTTGTGATAGTAATAAAATGAAGTAAAAGAACAACTAAAGTGACAGTAGTGCAACACTTATTAGGTAACACCCCGAATGGTGGAATTAGAGGAATATCTCCGGCTGGCCCATCATTCAGGTTAAGTTCAAGTTATTGAGCTGTAAATGCTTTTAATTGTCGTCTATGGACAACTTTGGGGTATCGTAGTTTGCCGCCTTTTCACGGGCACATGCAATTTTGAACCTTGACATATTGGGTGTCTACTCGACACAACCTCATCTTTTTATATTTCACCCAAAACATTTTTGGTGTGCACAAGAAATCCTTTCTCTGTAGATTTGATGGGGTTGGGTCAACAGTTGCACAAATGTGGAGTAATAAAAATGGCAGCTGCTGTCTTTTTTGTCTACGGGGCATGACAGAATATAATGTTTTCGAGGTTGAAGTGTGCTTTTGATGTGAAAATAATGCGCGTTTTAGTATGTTCTTATAAAAAAATGTTTTTAAAATGCCCCCGGCAGTGAAAGGGTCAAAGGGCCGAAATCTATGCGGGTATTAAAACTCGGAAACGATGAGGGATTTGTGGTAGCTGCAGTTACGATCTATATCTCTGTTATTCCTTTATAGAACGAAACAAACCACATCCGGGCCGACACCAAACTGGACATAAATCTGGAGCGAAGCCGCCTGACGGACTTGGTAATGAGCCCCCTTGGCACCCGGGCGCCACTGTACATTCATCAAATGTCTCTGCTGCCCTCCGGTGGTCATAGCCGGTAGTGACGGTGCCGCATCATTGCAGGAATTCTATTGAGTTGCATTCATTTATTTTATAAATCACAGATGAGCCGTTTTATAACGGAGACGAGCGAATTATCCATCAAGAGACTTAGATCACTGGAATATACATGTGATGTTTGGCTGATGGTTTCTGATCAGTATAAGTAAAGGGTTAACATGACAACTTGTGAGAGTTTCCACAGAGCCTGTTCTGTGTTTTCAGCATGCGCCGAGGACGGAGTGATAGGGCCGAGGACGGAGTGATAGGGCCGAGGACGGAGTGATAGGGCCGAGGACGGAGTGATAGGGCCGAGGACGGAGTGATAGGGCCGAGGACGGAGTGAGAGAGCCAGGAGGGAGTAAGGGGAGCAGGGCGGAGTGAGAGGGCCAGGAGGGAGCAAGGGGACCAGGGCGGAGTGAGAGGGCCAGGAGGGAGTAACGGGGCCAGGAGAGAGTAAGGGGACCAGGGCGGAGTGAGAGGGCCAGGAGGGAGCAAGGGGACCAGGGCGGAGTGAGAGGGCCAGGAGGGAGTAACGGGGCCAGGAGGGAGTAAGGGGACCAGTGCGGAGTGAGAGGGAGTAAGGGGGCCAGGAGAGAGTAAGTGTACCAGGGCGCAGTGAGAAGGCCAGGAGGGAGTAAGGGGACCAGGGCAGAGTGAGAGGGCCTGTGCGGAGTGAGAGGGCCTGTGCGGAGTGAGAGGGCCTGTGCGGAGGGAGAGGGCTAGGAGGGAGTAAGGGGACCAGGGCAGTGTGAGAGGGCTAGGAGGGAGTAAGGGGACCAGGGCGGAGTGAGAGGGCTAGGAGGGAGTAAGGGGACCAGGGCTGATTGAGAGGGCCAGGAAGGAATAAGGGGACCAGCGCGGAGTGAGAGGGCCAGCGCGGAGTGAGAGGGCCAGGAGGGAGTAAGGGGACCAGGGCGGAGTGAGAGGGCCAGGAAGGAGTGAGAGGGCCAGGAGGGAGTAGGGGGACCAGCGCGGAGTGAGAGGGCCAGGAAGGAGTGAGAGGGCCAGGAAGGAGTGAGAGGGCTAGGAAGGAGTGAGGGGACCAGGGCAGAGTGAGAGGGCCAGGAGGGAGTAAGGGGACCAGGGCGGAGGGAGAGGGCCAGGAAGGAGTAAGGGGACCAGGGCGGAGGGAGAGGGCCAGGAAGGAGTAAGGGGACCAGGGCGGAGGGAGAGGGCCAGGAAGGAGTAAGGGGACCAGGGCGGAGGGAGAGGGCCAGGAAGGAGTAAGGGGACCAGGGCGGAGGGAGAGGGCCAGGAAGGAGTAAGGGGACCAGGGCGGAGGGAGAGGGCCAGGAAGGAGTAAGGGGACCAGGGCGGAGGGAGAGGGCCAGGAAGGAGTAAGGGGACCAGGGCGGAGGGAGAGGGCCAGGAAGGAGTAAGGGGACCAGGGCGGAGGGAGAGGGCCAGGAAGGAGTAAGGGGACCAGGGCGGAGGGAGAGGGCCAGGAAGGAGTAAGGGGACCAGGGCGGAGGGAGAGGGCCAGGAAGGAGTGAGAGGGCCAGGAGGGAGTAGGGGGACCAGCGCGGAGTGAGAGGGCCAGGAAGGAGTAAGGGGACCAGGAAGGAGTGAGAGTGCCTGGAGGGAGTAGGGGGACCAGCGCAGAGTGAGAGGGCCAGGAAGGAGTGAGAGGGCCAGGAAGGAGTGAGAGGGCCAGGAAGGAGTAAGGGGACCAGGGCGGAGTGAGAGGGCCAGGAGGGAGTAAGGGGACCAGGAAGGAGTGAGAGTGCCAGGAGGGAGTAGGGGGACCAGCGCGGAGTGAGAGGGCCAGGAAGGAGTGAGAGGGCCAGGAGGGAGTAAGGGGACCAGGACGGTGTAAGATTACCAGTACAGATTAAAATGACCATCTTCCTCCCCAAAATAAAAAAAATCTGAAGTAATTTTTTTTAATTAAAGAACTCCATTCAAATTGATTTGAACTGAAAATAAAAAATTCTAATTGATCCGAATAACAAACCAAATCGAATTTCAGATGCAAAATACGAATAAAAAAAATATTTGAATTAATTTAAAATGAAACAAATATTTTGAGCCTTTTCCTGTCTACTAAATATTTGGGTGACCTGGATATATGTGATGTGTCTTATCTGAGGAAATAGTGTCAGTTCTGTTCAGCCGATCTTGTGATTCGTATTGGTGGTGCAGCCATTAGAGCCTAGATACCCCAACCCAAAATTATCAGCATCGGTTTTGAGTCGGGTAACTTCCTGCAAATAACCCGTATAATATACCTCATATTTTTAACATTAATAACATTTTGGAGATTTATTCTGTGGTCACGTGACCGCACAGCCTCCGTTCCATCCCATGTCCCTATTGCCAGGAGGCGTGTACCAAACCCAGCAGCAGTTTTGATAGACAGGAAGGCTCCTGGTCAAAGCCACTGGGTGGGGGGGTTCCTGCAAAACTGACTAGGGGAGTACAGGCACGTCGGTGAATGTGCAGCAGGGCCAGGAGCATGTACTCACCACGCCGCATGCTCAGACCCTTTGTAAAACTGACATTAGATTGTGGTGCAGCCCGTAAAGATAATAAAATATTTGTTTCATATTCTAGTTCACAGATCAGGAGAAGAAGCTGATGGAAGCCAGCACAGAATTCCATAAAAAGGTAAATCTGCATAATAATGAGCCTCAGGGAACATGTTCTAGCAATGTGAAAGGTTTATTGGTCCTTTAACCTCGTCGGGGTTTTTATTATCGGACAAAATACGTCAACAAGGTGACTTAAGACGTATCTAGTACGTCCCGCTCCTTTACCCCGGCACTGCTCCTCTCCCTGTGCTCTGAAGGGCAATTACCAGATGTCAATACGAGTTACTATTTTTTTTTGTGAGGCTCAAAGGTGTGACCTTTATTCTGTATCTGTTAAAGAAGCTTTACAAGTAAAAAATAATGTTTTTAAATAAAATGTATTTCTGTTTAACCCCTCAGGCGTAATCAGACCTAATTAACTCCTCCTTCCCCTCCTCCCTTGAGCTATTATTTTTCTTTTCATTTATTTTTAGATGTATTTTATGTTTTTATTATTTTAATTGGCGTCTTTTTATTTACTTTAGAAATTGATTATATGTTTTATTATTTTAGTACCGGTATATGTCTTTTTATTATTACATTTTTATTAACTTTTTTTAGATTGTGTTTTTATATTTATTTTTACATTTATTTTATATCATTTTAATTGGTGTCTTTCTATCTACTTTTACACTCAGTTTGTTTTTTATTATTTTAATTGGTGTCTTTTTATTTTTACATTTCTTTTATTTCCTATTATTTTAATGTGTGTCGTTTTATTTCAAGGATAAATGTTTCATAAGTAGTCCTACTCCATTATAATAATCTGGGACCGGATACTCCGATTCATAACCCACAACACACAATTCTGTAAGGCCGGGTTCACACCTGGGCGTTATTCAGTGCTGATCGAAGCGATGAAAAACGCTCGGCAAATGAAATCCCATCATTTCCTATGGGCATGGTTCCCACCTGGACGTATTTCAGCCCGTGGAAACGCGCTACGCCCGAACTGGTACAGGAGCTTCTTTGGGGCGTTTTTCCGCGCGTATCCATTGGTATTCCCCGAGTGTGGCTTGGGGTTAACAAAGCGTTAACCCCGAGCCACACTCGGGAATACAGCGTAGGACTTACCTTGTCTGCGATCCCCGCTGTGTCCTCCGGCCGTTACCGACTTTTAGGTTCTGTCCCATGCGACCGGCCGCGTCGGCGGGGGGGTCAGAGCCGGCGGGAAGTTTGAAAGTTTAAAAAAAAAGATAGAGAAAATAAAGGGGAAAAAATCATACTGCCAGGGAGGTATAAAAACGAGCGTCGAATGCGCATTTCACTGAACGGAAAAACGTGCTAAAAAACGCACAGAAAAAACACGCCTATAGTAACGCCCAGGTGTGAACCCAGCCTAAGTTCATATCTGATTTCTGGGGGACGTTCCTGGGATGTGAGGACGGGTTTGTCCTTTACAATACGGAATACGAGGTGGAGCTGAAGACTCATCATTCTCCATTGAGAGATCTTTCACTTGGATTGGGAAGTATGGGTGAGGGGTCAGTGATGTATACGCCGATCAGCGGGGCTTGAAAAATTTGGCGGTGTCTCACCAGTCAGTCAAAAATTTCACCAGTCAGCATGACCGGACTATCGGCCTTGCAATTTATGTTAAAAAAGTTTGGGG